TCCTGTCAGCAATGCCTGGGCCTCCAAGTCCGGAGACAGGGAAGGTGCAAAGGAAAGTAAACCCAAGAGAAGAACAGACCTTGATCGCTGCTGCTCTATTACTCATCTCATTGAATGAATGAGTGAATCAATCAATCAAAGAACCTGAAAATCCCTGACTTCAAGGAAATGAAGCAGTTAGGCTAAGGCATTGAATTCCTGAGCACTTACTTATCAATACCTTTTCTGAAACATCTCAGAGGCCCCCAGGGCACTGAGCAGAGGTTGATGCTGACTCCTGGATCCACAGGGATGTGGAAGAAACAAGGGCCTAGTCAGCTGAAGTGTAACAGAAGATAGATTACTCTACCCACTCCCTCTCAGGACACATGTAAAGGGTATTATGGTTTGAACATGAAATGTCCTCTCCCCCCAAAAAACTCATGTTGAAGCCATATGTGATGGCTCAGGTCTGTATTCCTAGCTACTTGGTAGGTAGCAATCAGGGAACTAAGGTTCCAGGTCAGTCTGGGAATAAATTTTCTACCAATACCTGTACCAATACCAATGGTCTGTACTTGCTGTCTCAGCTACAAAACAAGCATGATGGCTGGGCATTATGACACGTGACACAGGAAAGTACAAATAGGAGGATCACAGCCCAAACTGGCCTAGGCTTAAAGTGATGCCTTCCCATGAAAATAACCAATGCAAAAAAGGGCCCAAGAGGTAAAGTGCCAGCCAAGTAAGAAAGGTTGATCGAGAGCTTGAGGTGCTGAGTTCAAGTCCTGTTACCAGTACATACACAAAGAAAAATAGGAGTAGAGGGCTGAGAAGGTGGCTCAGTGGTAGAGCGCTTGCCTTGCATGCACGAGGCCCTGGGTTCGATTCCTCAGCACCACATAAGCAAAAAAAAGCCAGAAGTGGCGCTGTGGCTCAAGTGGTAGAACGCTAGCCTTGAGCTGAAGAGCTGAGGGGCAGCGCCCAGGCCCAGAGTTCAGGCCCCATGACCGGACCCCCCAAAAAAAAAGAAAAGCAAAAAGAAAAATAGGAGTAGAGCATTACCCAGCAAGCACAATGCTCATAGTTCAACCTCTAGCACTGCCAAAACAAACAAACAAAAAGAGCAAAAAAATCCTCATGTTACAGGCTTGGTTCTCATGCAGTGTTCACTTGCAATGTTCAGCTGGGAAAGTAATTGGCTCCTGAGGGCTCTGACCTATTTGATGGGTTAATCCATCGATAGAGTCATAATACAGTAGCCTTATTGGGAGAATGACAGAGGTGAAGCTTAGAGAAAGTAAATCAATGGGAGTATGACCCAGAAAGATATGCTTTGTCCCCTGCCCCTTCCTCTCTGCTTTCTGGCTGCCATGAGCTGAGCAGCTTTCCTCTGCCAGGCCCTTTCACTATATTATTCCTTGCTTTCAGTCTAAAAGTAACAGAGTCAGCTGGATGGATGACCTCTGAAAGCAAGAGCTAAAAATAAACCTTTACTCCTTTACCTCAGGTATTCTGCTGCAGTAAAGAACATTTACCACCACAGGGGGAGTCACCTAGGGAGCTTGACACTAGCAGGTATCTTCTCATGGCTTGCTTCCTGGTCTAGTACTAATGAGTTCAGGTTCTGTAGTCCCATCTGCATTCCAATCTCACTTGTACCACGTCCTAGCTGTGTGGTATTAAGCAAATGGCTCTATCTTTTTGAATCACAGGATGTGAAAGGCCACTGACACACTCATAAGAGTTGTGAGATGTGAAAAACAACTGCCTATAAAGCACTTTACACAGCACCCAGCACACAAATGCAGGATCCATTGTGGTTATCATGGCTTTTACCCTCAAGGCTAGTGCACTACCATTTGAGCCACAGCTCCATTTCTGGCTTTTTGGTGGTTAATTGGAAATAAGAGTCTCATGGACTTTCCTATCTGTGCTGGTTCTGAACCATAATTCTCAGATCTCAGTCTCTTGAGTAGCTAGGATTGTAGGTGTGAGCCACTGATGTCTAGTTTCTCCTGTTTTATTTTCTTGGCGGGGGGGGGGGGGGGGGGGCAGTCCTGGGGCTTGAACTCAGTACCTGACCACTACCCCTGAGCTTCTTTTGCTCAAGACTAGTGCTCTACCAAATGAACCACTTCTGGTTTTTTGGTGTTTGGTTTTTTTTTTTCTGGTAGTTTAGTGGAAATAAGAGTTTCACAGACTTTCCTGCCTGGATTGGCTTTGAACCATTATTCTCAGAGCTCAGCCTCCTGAGTAGGGAGGATTACAGGTGTGAGCAACTGGCACCCTACTTTTTAATGATGAAATTAGTGAAAAAATTCAAAAGAAGATTCTCCTGGGAAGTTCATGGAACTCCTATCACATTCCACCAAGTCACAGTACCATGTGGACATGGGAAAGCCAAGACTTCTCTAGTATGAGCAAATGAGGACCACACCCAGGCTTCCTCCTCCCCTACCTGCACTCTTACCTTGCCCAGGTGAACTCAAGGACAGGCACCAGGCACTGTCAGGCTGGTACCTCGGGAACCCTGGAAGCTGACTGAGGAAGGTTGAAGGAAGAAGCTCTGAGCTCTGATTCACCAGGAGCTGGCTAGAAGAGAGGACTTTGGCTAACTCTGGTGGCATGAGCAAATATGTAATGCCCCTCAGAAGAAATACCCCCAACTCTTTAGAGAGAAGTCTTTTTTTTCTGCAAGAATTCCCCAAAGTCACTCCACAACCTGGAGAACGGATCTTCCTTCCAACTCATATCACACCTCATTCCTCAGCTCTGAAACTCCAGGGCTTCTCCAGGATTCCCAGAAGACAGGCCTGCAAGTCATTTCCTCACTTCCGCCTCTGAAGCACCTTGATCTGTGTAACTACCCTTCAATCCAGGAGCCTAACAAGCTCTGGAGAGCCTAGCCCAACTTCCTGGTTTTCCTCTTCAGCTTTCTCCAGAACCTCAAGCTTTAGACTGCTTCCTCCTCCAGTTATAAAGCATTCCCAGCCCCAACCTTTCACTACATGTAACCCAAAGTATGTAAATAATCAGATTCTTTGTAGCCTTTAACTTATCCTTTGAAAGATGGGTCCAACAATAACCATCTCCTCGGGTTATTACGGGAAATAAATGGAGAAATTGCACACAAACCAATCGGCATAGTTCTGGGCTGTGAATGGGAACCCTGCAGTGGAATTCTGTCTCCCCACACAGCTGAAGTTTCAAGTATCTTTTTTTTTTTTTTTTCCAGCTAGGCTTTGTTTTCCTCAAGGATGCATCATCGATCTTACCTTCCCTCTTTCTCTACTATTTGGCTCAATGGTGAACAAACTATGAATGCTCAAAAAAAAAAAAATAGTAATTAGCAAAGAGGACACGTTCCAGGGGCATACTCTGTGTTCCTCTCTATGAGGTGGAGAGATGGCTTCTGCCACGGTCCTGCAGCCCTGTTGCCTTTGGTCTCCAAGGAGCACTGTAGTTAGTGCTCCATCCTCTAGCCTGCTGGGCTCTCCGGTAGTGGTCAAGAGGCAGTCTCTGCAGCCCCTCCCCCATCCCTGGGCTCGCAGGCCGGGCAAATCCTACCTCCCACAAGCATTTCCTGGGGCCCTGTTCCTCCTCCCAGTGTCGGGGAGAAACCTGGGAATAGGAGCTTTTCAGGCAAAGAATTTAATCCAAGGCTCCGCACAGGGCTTCCCAAAGGGGCACCAACGGGAGGTGGCAGAAGGGACCTTTGTGTGCTGGGATGGTGACAGGAAAGTTATGTTAAGTTCCTCTTTCTTCTGCTCAATGGCTTCAATGGCAACTCCCTATCTCCAGTCACCCAGCCCAGACCCCAAGTTTCCTCAGTTAGTTGGTATGGTGTTGTACACAATTCAAACTCTTGAGACTGTGGCGGCCTGAAGTGCACGGAGGGGCTCCTGCCCCGTTCCTGTTTGTCCAGCCTACAATTCCAGGTGGGATGGAACGTGGTGGGGGCGCTCCCCACCGGACGTGGGTCACCCTTGGCCCCCACGGTTCTGCTCAGCAGAGGCCCAGTGCACACCAGGCCACCGTGGAGGCCTCTGACTCTCCAGGGGGACCGGCTGGCTGGTCTTTGCACAAAGCTGCAGACACAACCTCCCTTTCACTCACCCGAGCCCCAAATTAAACATGAAGCAGAATCAGGAGGGGGTGGGTAGCACAGACTAGTTTTTACTCCTGAAAACCCCCATGCAGAAGATTCTTTCCCCTTAACTCTCGAATTTTTACTGTCACCCCCTTAAAAGCAGCAGAAAGAAGGGTGTCGTTTGGGGGCTTGCTGGCTTTCCGCTGGTTGAGTTTTTACATCTTTAGCAGCTCTTTTGCTGCTCAAGATCTGTCCATTCTGGAGAGGCGCCAATTTGGCTAGAGTTGCTCACACAGAAAACACACACACACACACACACACACACACACACACACACACACACACGGCGGTTAGTTGGCCACTGCATTCTGATGGCCCCACAAGATGCCACATGCCACAAGGCGTCCTTGAAGACCAAGTGTGGAAACGAGAACAGAAACGCCAGCAGATGCAGGGCGTACCCTGAGCGCACCGCACCGATAGAAACACCGATGCCGCGCCAGTCCCGGGACAGAGGCCCGGGATCAGCCCCAGGCCCGATGGACCGAGCCTCTGGTTCCCCAGGCGGGCGCGCAGCGCGGGTCCCCGGCCCAGCACAGGCCGGGCGCCAGGGGTCCTGGAGGCCGGGGTGAGGGTCTTCCTGAGCCCGCCACTCCCAGCCTGGAAGCTAGCGCTCCCCTCCCCCTCCCCCCCGCCACATCTGGTTCCACTCAGGTCCTCCTCGTCTCTCCACCCCGCTTCCAGAAAAGTGGGGAGGACTTTTAAAAATCCCAGTCTCTCTCTCTCTCTCTCTCTCTCTCTCTCTCTCTCACACACACACACACACACACACACACACACACACACACACGCATGCACGCATGCTTCGCGGTTTGGAAAAGGAGGGAAAAGTGGAGAGGCCCGCTCCCCGCGCCCGGCCGCGCCTTACCCGGGAGGGCGGCGGTGGAATCCCTGGGGCGGCCGAGGCGCAGCCCCCCGAGGAGCAGGGCGCAGCGCAGCAGGTGACCAGGCCAGGGCGCCGGGGGCGGCCGCACGGGGCCCATGGTGCGCGCGCGGCGCGCAGAGGATGCGGGGAGCGAGGGCGCGCGGGGAGACGGCGCGCGGCTGCGGCCCGGGCTCGGAGCTGTGCTGACCGCCCGCGAGGGGCTCGCGTCCTCCTCCGGGTCGGGATGAAGCGATGCCTCCCGGGGCGGAGGAGGGAGGAGGCAAGGCTGGCGGAGGGAGGGCGGAGGGAGGAGCGCAGAACCCAGGAGGAGGGTTTGAGGGGCAGAGGGGAAGGGAAGCGGGCAGCGTGGGAGGGGAGGGGAGGGGAGAGGTGGGGGATGGGGCCGGGGACCGGGGAGAGGAGGGAACGGCCGGCGATGAGGAGGGTGTGTGTGGGGGGGGGGGGTCAAAGGAGGACCCCCGCGCGCGCCGTTTCGTGCTGGGCTCCCCGCCTCGCCTTCCCTCTCTGCTCGGTCCGGGCCTGGAGCCCCAGACGCTGCGTCACAACTCCCCTGCTGGCGCGGGCGGGGAAGCAACTGCAAAACTTTCCGCAAACTTCACGCCGTGGCGAGATGTGGAGGGGCCAGGCCAGGCGAAGGCGGGGGCGCGCTGCTGACCCAGGTGGCCAGACCCAGGGCGCCGGCGCCGCCTCCCCGCACCCCTGCATCCCGCCTCTGGCTGCCAAGTTTTGTGGCCTCTTAAGCATCCGCAACGTCCTCGTCCTCGCCTGAGACCCGCTCCTCCGTCCTGGTGCGGGGAAGGGGTGGAGCCCCGGGCTCGGCCACCGGGGAGCAGACTGGGGGAGGGGGATGCCGGGACTCTGGGTTCCTGCGCGGGACAAAACACAATTCTTCACACGTCTTGTTTCTGCATGTGTGTGACCCCTTGTGTCAGTGTCCCTGGCACAAAAGGAGAGCAGCACTTTGGCTGCTTGGGGCTGCATCCAGAAACCTGGGGAAAATCTGTCCACCGGACGTCCCAGAAGACTTATATCAGCTCCCACCAAACTGGTTTGCTGGCCAGTAGCAAAGGACCAAATGGAAATTTCATAAAAGAGAAGACAATCCAGCTATTCGGTGTTATGCAACAGGTCATTGCAGCACGGAGCACTGGACCGGGAGTCAGGATTTTGGAGAGCAGCCCCTACAACCACTTCTCATTCCCTGAACCTTAGAAAAGTTGCTTGAGCTCTCTGGGCTGAGTCAGACTGAGACATTTGGAGACCCCAAGTGCAAGAAAGATGACACATTCTTCCCCCACAGTAAATAAAAACATGGAAACTATAATATAAATTTTATTGTTTCCTGGGCTGTCCACACGTGGAATTTATTTGGAAATAACAAGTGTGACTTTTCTTCTTTTTTATGACTCCTGTCTTGGGTAATCTTTACCATCTCTGTCTACAATGCGGTGCTGAGCCCGCAAGGCCCACTTGGATTTTCCCACCAGCACCAGCTGAGATTCTTGGCAAGTTATCAGTTGCAGGACCCCTAAGAGAGTCCCCACTGAAACCTTGAAACCAATGGGCTCTGGAAGGATTCCATTGTCATGTTGGCCCTGAAGAAGGACTGGCAGCCAGGCCAACAAAACTTGCCGCTCCCAGGTCATTCTGGGGAACTGGCTACTTGGTTGTCCCTTAGGGCCTGTCATCTTGGTTTGGCATGTCTTGGGATCTAAGCACCCGCACAAGATAGGTCTTGCTAAGGCAGCCTCCAAGGTTCTCCTTGCCCTTCTGTCTCAAAGCCCTGTTATCTACAAGGGAGTTGAGGATTTGCCAGCTTCAACTAAACTGCTCTCTCCCTATCTCAGCCCAAACACAAGATGCTTCTGGATGGGGGTTGGATTCCTCCTTCCCAGCCAGCCTTCATAAGTTTTGGCATTCTCAGATGGCATAGTAGAAGCCAACTCCCTTACATCACTAAAGTGTGATGTGGCTCCAGAGTCTACTACTAGCCAGCACAGGGTCCCCGTGTGCCCAGCACACAGGATGTGCCCTCCACCCACTCATGGAGCACTGCCCACTGCTGTGTCAACTACTGGGGAAAAGAAGTGAACGCAGTTGTAGCCCTGAGTTTTGCTTCAGGAGGGAAAAGAACTTTTGCTGTATTTCAGGACAGAGGCCTGCTCAAGCACCGACCTGAGGATACCTTGCTGCTTCAGGTACCAGGGTTACTCACTGTGCTGCTCACTGCCTTGGTGCCCACATCCACCATGTGGCTCAGATCTTGAGCTCCAAGGGCTACATCTGAGCAATCTTCTGAGATTCCAATCCAGTCTTCCACTGCTTAACGATCCTATGGAGGCTCAGCTATTAACAAACCGTCAGGTCTACAGGTGCTGGGTGTTGTGAGGGTTGAGGCTTTTGAAGCACCCAGCACTCAACCCTTTATTGGCTTTCAAGCAAGAGTCAGTGTCCTCCATGCCCATGACCTACTCACCATTCCAGAAAGTTTGGGCAGCTTTGTTGATGGCCCAGTTTTGCTCCAGACATTGGGTTATAAGCTTGGGATTTAGTGAGGTCTCTGGCATGGTCTGACAACATAGTACTTGCTATATTGGATCAACACCAAGAAACAGCTCTTTTGCAAACAGTCTGGTAATGTCCTTCAGGTGCTGATTCAGCCTGCAATAGGCCTAGAGGTGGGGATGTCTGTGATTTCATTTGGCCAGTTTAGTGGAAGGAGCCTAGACTTTGGAGTCACAGATCTAAGAATCCTGGCTCCCCTTTCACCAGTTTTCTGATGTTAAGTACGTTACTTCTATTCTCCCTGAGCTCACAATTGTCATTTGTAAATGGAACAATCCCTGTGTTGACAGTTAACCATTAGTCTACAGGGATGGCACAGTCCCAGGAGGTGTTCAGGAAATGGAATCCGCTCCTTGTTCCCCTTCTTTGCCATTTGGATACCAGGGAGCCCCCCCAATTCCTGACTCTTCGCTGAATCCCCCGCCCACCAGAGCTGCCCAGGACACTCAGGATAACCTTGGGCTGTCACAAAAGAACAATATGACCTCCTCCCCAGTGTCTGAACATCTCTAGTCTTAACTGTACACGAATGGCATCTTAAGAATAAACCCAATATGCTCAATGTGGCTAATGAATGCCACATATTAAATAGCCCAGTTTGGGGCAATGCAGAAGTCTAGGCCTGAGCATCAAAGGTGACTTGAATTTAACTTCTGCCAGTCACTAAGGCACACATTCTCAGGCAGTCATTTCCCTAGAGTCTCAGGTATTCTCAAGTACACACATTGGTGTCATTGTTCACTGTGCTTATTAGGGTGTTTCTGCATTAGTCTAGTCTGGAGCTCAGCAGCCTCTGCAGCTGGAGACACCCAGAAGAGAAGAGAGCACCCTCTGGAGGCCAGGTCTACAATACAAATACAGGAAAGGAAAACACAGAAAGGAAGAACATAATCCATCCTGAGGAAGCTGCAAGGGTTTGGCCAATGCTTGCCTGAGGCAATTAGAAAAGGGGATATGACCCCCTAATGGGGCACACTCTGCACCCTTTTCAAGTCTCCAGCCAAACATGCTAAAAAATAAATCTCACCCTTTCTAGCCCGCCCTGGATCTGGCATCACAAACCCTCAGGTACCAGTGGCGGTCCACCTCCTTTTCCTTCATCGCTCTGAGAACTCCAGAACTAACTGCGCTACAGGGAGAATGCAGGGTGGGGATTTAGACAACACCAAATGTCCAACTTTGGATCCACCTGCTCCTAAAGCTGTGCATGTGGGCCAGGCACTCACACATGGAGCCATAGTTAGCACACATGAAGATATCTTATATCTACTTAGGACACAATGTGGAGAGCTTTCTGTTACTTTGCTTGAGTAGGCTCCATGGGAGATGAGGAAATACAGGGGTAGAATCCTGGAGGTGTGGCAAATTCCATAGGCTTCAGATCTGGTCTGGGAAAATAAGAAATGGTACATACCCACAGGCACAGGGCCGTTTGTACAGTGGTGACCTGAACCTGTTATCCTTGTTCTGTGATTCCAACCTGGATGTGTTTTGCCTAGTTAATGTGGGTGGAGATCTCATGACAAGGGTTCCTATGAAGATTTCAAGAGCCATGGCTCCTGAGATTAATCTGTAGTGACACCCCTCCCTTGCTATTGCCCAGTGGTGTGTCCTTGTCTTAGGGCAAAGGCTAAAGGACTCAGGTCTGGCTGTGTGTCAGGCCAAAACCAACTGGGTCTTCTGTGCCCTATGAACATTTCTCCAGGAGCCACTGTGACACAGAAGTGGCAACTAGCCACAATGTATGTATGTGTGTGCGCGCATGCATGGGTGTACTGGTCTAAGGCTTGAACTCAGGACGTGGGTGCTGTGCCTTAGCCATCCTCAGGTCTCAGCCTCCTAAGATTATAGGCATGAGCCACAGGTGCACAGCTGGCCACAACTGCTTATTCATCCTTCACCCCCTTCAAGATTACAGCAACCTCAAGAAAAAAATCAAAAAATGAGGTCCCATTCCTACATACAATCTTGCCCTCTAGAAGGAGGGCAGCATTATGGCTTCCTAATCCATAAACAAAGTAACAAAATCAGATTTTAGGGAACTCATATAACTGTTTAGTGAAAACACATCCCCATTTTCCCTCCACCAAAGGGTTAGAGAGGCAGGGCTCCTGCACAGACCTTCAAGTAGCTTTCTAAGGACTACTGCCCAGCAAGTAGGTGAGGGACACTGTCTAGATCAGGACAAAAAATGCCTGGATTCAGACTGGCCTAGATTAGGGAAAAGATGTGCCTCCAGCTGAGAGCCCAAGCGCCACCCTCATCCATAGCCCCTGATACCCAAAGACAGTACTCAGAAAATCCACCTTACAAAAATCTTAACCTGCTATAGCTCCATCCATTGCCTGTCATCAAGCCTCTCTAGGCCTGTTTCCTGGTCTGTAAAATCAGTGAGATGCTCCCAAGAAACTTCTTTGTAAAACAGAAGGGCTAGAGCCTTCTTCTCTTTGCCAACACTATTTTCTGCAGCCCTCCAGCAGTCTCTCCCAGGACAGAAGACTTAGGCTACACAGGAAGCCACAGTTCAGACTGCTCCCTGAAGCTAGCATGGTTCTTTAGCTGGGCAATGCCCACCATACCCCGTCAGCCAACCAGCTGCTCTTTGACCTTTCTCATTA